GAAGGTGTTCCAACCACGTTCGCGCCGAATCGGCCAGGAACAATGGAAGGTTGCGGATAATGAAATTGTCACTATCCGCTCCACCGGCTTGGCAAGAAAGCCGATAATCCTCGAGCCATAGTCTGAGGTTTGTTTCCCTAGAGTATTTCAGGATGTTGGTTGGCGGTCGGTACCGCGGTGGGAAGACGGCGTTGAGGATTTGTCGGCCAAAGGCCTGAGGTCCCAGCAAGTCGGGGCTCGGGCTTCGATCCCCGCTGCTGTCATAGCGTCCGCCACGACGAGGGTGTTGCACACGTCACGGTGGAGGCCAAGATGCTCATGCACTAGGGCCGCGGCACATGCCCTGCCGCCTCGCTACGCCTGGTGGACTGACACGTCCCTATCGGGTCGCTCTAAGGCCGCGCGCTAGCTGGCGTTGAGCTCGTGTCATCGGGACAGCGAGATCTCGGCCTGCTACACCATCGCACGCTCGAGTAGCGTGCGAATCTCGCGATGGGCCTGACGATCCTTGGGTGTCTCGGGCTCTAGAAGCCCTCGGAGCAAGGTCACCACGGCAGTGATGTTCTAGCTTGCTCGAGTGAAGTGTGGGAGGGCTTCGTCGTCCTCGATGATCCTCCGGTTCATGTTGCAGGCCACAGCGTGTGCACGCCCACCGTCTCTATGGTGGTGCTCGATCTCTAGCTTGAGCTCCGCGCATTCCTGCTCGAGTTGGAGTCACGCTTCTTCAAGCTCTTGGTGCCGCACCCTCAGCTGCTCTACCCGCAGGCGAAGTGGGGCCCCTACATCCCCCTCGACCTCGTCGTTGAGGTCATTTATTGGGGTAGCCCCTCCCTCGTGGATGCTTTCGATGTATCCCTTGGGGTTACCTGCCATGAAACATTCCCACGAGGGGTGATGGCCCCCCTGCTAGAGTCAGAGTCGGAGGGCGACTCCGATTCTCCTGCGAGAAGGTCATGGAAAGATTCCATGACATATTCGGTCATCCCCATGAACTCGTTGTTCGTAGGGGATGGGGGCATGCGCTGCGCCACAAGGTGGCTAACGGTCTCGGTGGCGTTGCGTAGACCGAACGGGAGCGCTGTTGGGGCACTCCGGATGAGGTATTCTAGGGAGAGTAGCTCTCCTCCGGCAAGCTACATCATAACATTAGTGAACGAGAAAGTGAGGCGGCGCAGGTCCTCTCGAGATGGTCGGGGTCCCAGGAAGGCACCGCGCTAGCGCTCTAGCCTCCGATAATCAAAGCCATGGAGCTGGTCGCTCCCAGGGGCGTGGGCCTCCGGTGCGTGCAGTTGTAGCTCCTCAAGCGTCATGGCGATCGCGTCGAGGCCGGCGGAGTGGAGAGGCTAGACGGTGGCGGGAACTTGCACCAACTCTCCCTCCATCGTAACGATGAAGTCCAGGTTTCTGAAGCGCATGTGCGTGCTCGGGACCCAGCTGACGCCATGACTAGCCATCCGAGGCCTTATGTGGACGTCGAGACACGCAAAAAGCCCCTACCTGGCCGCCAACTATCAGTGTTTTCGGACCACCGACGAGTAAATTTGTATTTGCGCGTCTGGCTCGAATGGTGTGCTGAGAGGACACAAGGGTTTATACTGGTTTAGGCAGAATGACCCTACGTCTAGTTTGCTGCTGCTCGTGTTACTGCCACTTGGATTGCAGTAGAGGTTACAAACAGGCGAGAGAGGGAGAGGATCCCAAGTCTCTGGTGGAAGGAGTGAACGGGTGCTAAGAGCTCGCTTGCCGCTCAGCCGTGTGCTCGTGTCGTGCTCTTGTGTCCAGATCCCCCTAGATTCCCCCCTTTTATGGGGTGCCCTGCTTTCCCTTTTATAGGCGAAGGGAAAGCATGGGTTACAGAGGAGAAAAAGGAGAAGAACGAGAGAGAGAAGAAGGCTTCCAGGGTTACCGGGTCCTTCTCCTCATGCGGGTCCCACCGATCCTGTAGATGTCAATAGGGATGGCTCCATGTCGTGGCCTTGTTCGTCACTAGCGCCATGCGCAGGCATCATCAGTCGGTCGTGGCGTTCCACTCTGTCTCGACGGACATCACGGTGAACTAACACGCCTATCAGCGTCCGTACGAGGATTTGGTAGAATAGCACCGGTACGCTCAACACTATTCTTGATGTGAATCCCCAGGTATAGCCTGTCATGGCCATGGGTCACATCGAGGCATGCTAGCCACTTTCCTGGCATCAGAGTTTTGACCTAGGCCCATACGCTTGGATCTGGAGTGGTTGGCGGCGGTATGGGTCCCCGTCGGACGAGACAAAACCCGCATCCTCAAGGTCGGGCGAGACGAAGCCTGCAACCTTGGGTGAGATGGAACTTGCGTCCTTGGGGTCGGGCGAGATGGAGCCCGCACCCAAGGGGTTAGGCAAGACGAAGCCCGCGACCTCGAGGTCGGCGAGACGGAGTCCGTTGCCTTGGGATCGAGCGAGACCTTTTAATACGTCTCGAGCCATCCGGGGAAGTCAGGCGCTAACTTCCTTGTTTTGGGTATCCCTAATATTGATACCCGACAAGAAGTGTATATAGGTTCAACAAGAAGGCAAACTTGATGATATTCCACATAATGTTCAAATCAAGACTAAAATTATGTATTGTGTTGGAAGATCATAGAAACAATATAGTTCAAGAGAAAGACAACAATGCAAATAGAGTTGATAAAATGGCTTCCATGTTGAGGAATATCATAGTATCATGAGAAAGTAAGCATATTTGGCAAATGGCAAAAGAGACATGAGTTGATGATTTTGAATTGGTCTCAATAATGGCTTGTTTTGCATGAACAAAAAGAGTTTGATAGTGGATTAGCTTTAATCAAGAATTGAAGAATGAGTTAAGAATGCATAAGTGAAGAAATACCAAGCAAATGTTTAAATGACAAAGGACACAACTCATATTGGATATAAGTCGGTCTCTATGTTGGTTTGCTTGTATGGATAAAGATTTGGAAAATCACTTTGCATTGATTTGATCAAGCTAGAACTATGAAGATAGATATTGAAGTGAGTGTTAGGAGTGTCAAGCCAAAATAAATAGGATATAAGGAATCATGAATTGGCTTGACCATATTGATGTTGATACATATATCTTAATCTATGTGAATCCAACTGAAACTTAATTGATCTCAACATTCATATTTAGAAGATATTCAAGCAAGGATCACAATAATGAAGAAATGGTTTTTCAATGGATGTTTAATATGATATGACTTGGGTATGGCTTGATAAGGTGAAGATAGCAAGGAAAGGGCTTCGAGAAACTAAGCGAAGGTGAAGGGCAAGCAATGGCTTGAGGACCGAGGTACCATGGCTAAGGTGAAGAAGAGTGTACTTGCATTGAGTCGAAGAACTAATCAAGCTATGAGGAGTCATATTGTGTTGAGGATTAAATCATTAGTAGAAGTGACTTGAAGCCATGGATTAAACTCACATGTGTTGAAATGGTTCAAGTCACATGCTCAAGGTATGTTTGCTCAAAGAGAGGAGACAAAGTTGATTGCAACCCCTTATGAAGCGATTCAAGAAGTGGCATATGAAGATATTGAAGACTTAAGTGGTTGAAATGGTTATATTCTCTTGATCTTAAGTATAGGTATGTTGTACTATCAAGCGAGATGCAATACGAATCATAGGCAAGTCTTAAGTGCTCAAACTAACCAAACCCAAGTGCTAACATGAGAGAAAACACTTATCATAGCACCTGCACCTTTTTATCTTGAGGCTTGTTCTTGGTTGGGCTGGATAGCCCTCGAAACTAAGCTTTCCGAAAAGTCCAAGATCACTAAAAATAGAGTACGGAGTAAAAAGTTATGGCGTTTTCTGTGAGGTGGCTTGTGCTGTTTTTCAGAACTGTGGCAATGTCGTGAATTTTCACAGCAGTGCTGCACCTCCGCGGGTTAGAGCGACAGTTCCACACCTGTATAAGTCATAATGGCTAGTTTTTGAACTGCAACGGCTAGTTTGTTTGGGCTGGGTATAAATACACATCCCATGGCTCCTGGTGTTGCTGATGATGCTCCAACCATTCCAAACCCTTCCCAAGCCTTGTGAGAGCTCTCTGACCCTTCTCTTTGTGAGAATGAGTGATTAGTGATTGATTAAGTGTTAGAGAGCAATTAAAAGTAAGCCAATCCTTGAGCACTTGTCGGGCTTCCAAATGCGCAACAAATGATGAAGAAACAGTGCGGGAAACATCTATAGGTACGGGCGTCCGAATGCTAGCAAGCCCGATGATTTATAACCTAAAACATGTTTGTATTTTATTTCTCTCGTTATTTTTAAAATTTAAATACAATTACTACTACTACTACCACCACTACTACTATTATTATAAAAACATATTTTTTTACAAAAACATATAAATATTTATTTTGATCTTAGAAGATAATATATAAATAGTTAGTGTCCAACTAATCATATACTATGATAGTAAACAATTTAATGTTTTATTTTTTTTATCTGTATCGGTGTAAACGAACAGGCAACCCTCGATCATTCAGTCAATTCAGAAAGATAGGCACAATACATAATAAGCTCTCCACAGCTTCAAACACTATAGCGACCTGATGAATACGCCTGGGCGAGGCACCTCCCCTCCTGGCAAAGCTGCCCTGGCGATGGGTGCTCCCCCAGGCATCCGATTTTGGACGCCTGGGGTTGAGATATCTGCCTGGTGATGGAGCTGCCTGGGAGGACTCCATCCAAACAGGCCGACCGGTACCCGGGCGAAGCCACTGTCCAAATTCCAAACACCCTCAGTTGCCTGCACAGGGATTGTGAGCCATGCCACAATGAACACACAACAGATTCTGAACACCATTTTGACAGTTTTTCAGCTCCAGAATCTAGATCGTTGGGCCAGCCCACCACACAAAAGCGAGAATCATACATAAAACACACAGCACTTGATCGTGCACATCCATCGCCTATTACCTACCACCTAAACACTGTTTCTCACAAAGTAACAAAATATCATCCTTCAACCTCCACATCTTAGGCCGTGGCTGGCCAATCCTTCCTGATCTCGAAGCAGTAATTCATGTCCAGGTAGACATTCCCATCATCATCGACAAACTGTAAAATCAAATCCATTACGTCACTGGGCTACACATTCCTAAGGTCTCTTACCAGGAAGGGTAGAGTACATATAACATTTTCTTTGAGCCGTTTCCTTACCTTGAGCTTTGCAGAATATGAACCCCTCGCAAAGATGCCACTTGGGGTCGTATCTTCCTCAGCCTCGTATGTGTAGGGCTCCTGCCGAGGACTGAAGGTCCCCAGCATCACCTTCTGCTTTTCTACTGCAATAGGCAACCTGAGATCAGCTATCTTAGGCCTAGGGAGAGCACCGAGACACTTCAAGTGCAGCCAATGCATGCATCTTTCTTCTATGAGAATCATGACCATGATGCTACAGACAGCATATTAAAAAGATGTGAATCAATCCATATCATAAATAACCTAGTAGTCCTTCAGAAGCTCAACCCTACACCGCATTTGTGAAGTTCAAGGAAAAAATCTTTGATGCAACAGAACAGCTGGGACACATTTTTTCTCAAACACGCAAGAGAGCTGCACATCATTATATTATATTAATAGTAAGAAGGAAAAGGGGGAAGAGCCCATACAACACAAACCCACAAAGCTGGGATACATGACTTCGTGGTAAAGATAAGTACCAAGGAACATTTGTTCCAAGTAAAGGACTAGCAATTATGTTTACATAAAGAAAGATCAATCATGTATAATGCAAAATTCTGAGCCAAATAGTTAGTAGTTTCACGGTAAGTATATTTATGTAATGAGCTATAGAATGTAAACGAAGGGCAGGCCTGGTGCAGTGGTGAGAGCTGTCTCAGTGAGTCACCAGGTCACGGGTTCGAAGTAGCCTCTCCGCAGATTTTGCGGGGGGGGCTTGCCTCGGTTTTTCCCTTCCCCAGACCCCACTCATGTGGGAGCCTCCGGCACTGAGCCTGCCCTTTTTAGCTATAGAATGTAAACCAGATGCAGATTAACACAAGGATCACATAAAACTAATCAAATTCATGCTGACATCCTTATTCTCATTAAGTGCAGCATCCGCATGTAAGCAACAAAAACAAAACAAAACTATGCATATGTTTGATTATAAAATCACCTCTTACTCCTGTCTTCCAGACGGTGTGTGTATATCTGAGACCAGACACAATGTTGTTGGAGACAGTGAAGGAGAAGCGGAAGCTGTAGGTGCTCCCATCCTTGAGTGCGAATGCGTACCCCTTGTCATCCAGCACAAGTGGGATAGCTAGAACCAGATCTGGTCGCTCTGGAGTTAGGATGGTCAAGTTTAATATGGTCACCTCTGGTTCTGCAGTCTCTGCATACATAAACGGACTATCAGACAAGCATATGAAGCCTCTGTTTCATTTATTGCACTCTCCAGGCCATTTTTCAGTTAATATGTTTAGCTGCACTGAATCTCTAACTCAATGTTATCTTGTCTATTAAGAAAAAAAAAATTAAATGTCAACTTTTTTGTGCTTCAACGTGCCCAAAAGTGAATGAAATAAATTGAGTGGCTCAATATAGTGAATAAAAATATCAAACGGTGCCATGGACACGTAGGGATGAAAACAGGATGGAAATCCCGTCCCAACCAACACCGTTTACCGTATTTTCACTAAAATACGAAAACAGGGAAACAGCAGGAAAATCTGGCGAATACAGTACCAAAAAAAGGGTGGCCTTTTTTTTCCGCCTGTATTCACGGTTCCCGTATTTGGACAGGAAATTCCCGGCAGGAATACTGCATTTATTTTTTCTTTTAAAGTTTATTTACGAAGCTGCCTGTGTGCTTTGGAAGTTGGAACCAATAGCGACGAGGCCCTGACTTTAATGCTTTTGTGCCTCCCCCCGGGTCTGTTTATATAGCCGTCTGTGTGCTTCTCTATTCTATGCGGGCGCGAGGAGGGACTAAACTGAGGGCTCCTGCAGGCTCCAGCCGCAGCCATGTGCGCGCTGCTTGCTGCAGTGCTGCCTGCTTGTTGGGCTGTAATTGGCCACTTGTTGCTAGCTAATCTGAGCCACAAGAGCACAGGCAAGCCACCAGAAGACTCCTGATGGGGTCACGGCAGTTGCAAAGTGCAGTCACGTGGGTGAAGCACGTTTCAATTTTTTCCTTTTCTTTTTCTCTCTTTCAAAATGTTCGTGCTTTTTACTTAATTTAGGATGAGGCTAATCCAATATGCTGAAATTAATTAAAAATAAACAGTGAATATAAACTCTTATGAAGTTAAACATTTCGAGCCACGGATGTATGTAGGATCACGTGTTTCCCGTTTTGATTTATCAGTTCCCGACCGCTATCGGCGCGTTCACAATCAATTTGTTTCATTTCCGACGTCCCACATAATCGGTTTTGTTTTCCCCACCGGCTTTCCTGTTTTCGTTTCCATTTCCATGTAAAAATACAAGATTGAAAGTGGTTAGAGATTTTTTCCCGACCATTTTCATCCCTACGGACACACCATTTCTGCTTTATATAATGACTTCTGTTTCTGAAATTTCAACACATGCAGGAGCATTAATGAGGTACTAAAATTACCTCCAAGCTTGGTGGTATCAACATCTCCGAGGAGCTGCTCTTTCCACCTCCTTAGGCTGTCATCATCCTACAAATAAATTAAATTCAAAAGGAAAATGTGTAGGGAAACAGCATTAGTCATTCCATAAATGGTGGCCTAACCTACATACTAAAGGTGTAATATAATCACATGGATACAATGCGATTGGGCATAATCGTTTCACCTTGTCAAGCTCAAGGTGGTCCTTGAGGGGAACCTGAGGGCCAAGCATCACTGTGTGCTTCCCATCATCATCATCATAGTCATCATCATCTAAACCATTGGTGTCTGTGTCATTGTTGCTGATGCTCACTGATGCTTCCTCATTCTCCTCCTTATCCATGCTACCCGTTGTCCTGGTTTCTTTCCTGTGATACAATCAAGAATGTAGATGACGACGATGAATAGAGCAAAAACATAGTCCCTCCTAACATTCTGAGCAAGCAGTATATGTCAAGCTAGCTTAATGTTGGCCATTGTGAAGAAGAGGCAAAGTGTTAAAATCAAGGGCCACAAAAATAAATAAACAAACCAAATCTAGGACCTTCAATAGTCGACAAATCATGTCACATAGTAGTCATAGACACATGGGCAGAGCAACATGGGGGTGTGCCCAATGGCGGATTCAGAAACAGATCAGGGGGCTAAATAATAGAAGGCTAGAAATGGTACTAGCCATACACTAATGGATATAACCAGTGCCGGTCCTGAGGTTCCAGGATCCTAGAGCGAACTAGAGCCTAAGGGTCCTTAATATAAACACCATCCTAACATAATGGCTAGGGTTCGTGAGAGAAAGATAAGGGACTTCAACAAAGTTAAGTGCATTAAGGATGAAAGGGAGCATCTCTTGGTGAAGGAGGATGAGATCCGACATCGATGGCAAGAGTATTTTGACAAATTGTTCAATGGTGAGAATACGGACACAACCTTTCACTTGGATGACTCTTTTCATGACACCAATAGGCACTTTGTGCGGAGAATCCAAAAATCTGAGGTCAGAAAGAAGGTAAAGCGATGGGACCGGATGGTATCCCAATCGAGGTGTGGAGATGCCTCGGGGACATAGCTATAGTATGGCTAACCAAGCTATTCAACCATATTTTTCGATCGAACAAGATGCCTGATGAGTGGAAGAGAAGTATATTGATACCGATCTACAAGAATAAAGGGGATATTCAAAGTTGTACTAATTACCGGGGAATTAAGTTGATGAGCCATACTATGAAGCTATGGGAGAGAGTTATCGAGCATCGCTTGAGAGCAATAACGCGGGTCTCTATGAACCAATTTGGTTTCATGCCTGGAAGATCAACCATGGAAGCCATTTTCTTAATAAGACAAGTTATGAAGTGGTATAGGGAGAAGAAGAAGGACCTACACATGGTTTTTATTGATTTGGAGAAGGCTTATGATAGAATACCAAGAAATGTTATGTGGTGGGCTTTGGACAAACATAAAGTTCCAACGAAGTATGTCGGGCTCATTAAGGACATGTACAACAATGCTGTGACTAAAGTTCAAACAAGTGATGAAGACACGGATGACTTCTCGATTAGGATAGGACTACATCAAGGGTCAGCTTTGAGCCCTTATTTGTTTGCCTTAGTGATGGATGAGGTCACAAGGGACATACAAGGGGACATCCCTTGGTGTATGCTTTTCGCGGACAATGTAGTGTTAGTTGATGAAAGCCGGATATGAGTGAATCAAAAACTGGAGTTATGGCAGGAGACTTTGGAGTCCAAAGGTTTTAGACTCGGTAGAACTAAAACTGAGTATATGAGATGTGACTTCGGCACTACTACTCGGGAGGAGGAAGATATTAGTTTGGAAGGTCAAGTAGTGCATAGGAAGGATACCTTTCGATATTTAGGATCAATGTTACAGAGAGACGGGGATACTGATGAAGATGTTAGCCATAGAATCAAAGCAGGGTGGATGAAGTGGCGCCAAGCATCTGGTGCCCTATGTGACAAAAGGGTACCACAGAAGGTAAAAGGCAAGTTTTATAGGACAACGATTAGACCTGCTATGTTGTATGGTGCAGAATGTTGGTCTACGAAAAGACGACATGTTCAACAGATAAGTGTCGCGGAAATGCGTATGTTACGTTGGATTTGCGGTTATACAAGAAGGGATCGAGTTCGGAATGATGATATACGTGATAGATTAGGGGTAGCACCAATTGAAGAAAAGCTTGTCCAACGCCGGTTGAGATGGTTTGGACATGTCCAACGGAGACCTCTAGAGACACCGGTGCGTAGTGGAATCCTAAGCCAGGATAGTAACGCGAAGAGAGGCAGAGGAAGACTAAAGTTGATTTAGGTAGAGACAATAAAAGGAGACTTGAAAGGATGAAATATACCCAAAGACTTAGCCTTAGATAGGAGTGCTTGGAAGACACCTATTCACGTGCCTGAACCTTGATTGCTTCTACTGGGTTTCAACTCTAGCCTACCCCAACTTGTTTGGGACTTAAAGGCTTTATTATTGTTGTTGTTGTTGTTGTAAATAATTTGAACATAACACCTTTAAAAAAAAATCTTATAATCATTGTCAAGACTGATAGATCAATTAAATCTTCTTCTAGTCTTTTTCCCCCACTATATGGTGCTTGTTTTTTTAGATGACATAGGTGCTGAAAATTTAAGAATTAGTAATTGAAAGCTACAATAGTACTAGATCAAGTAATTTAAATATCCATTAAGAAATATCAATGGTCCTGTTGCAACAACGAAGGACACAATATTGATCATTAGTTTATAAATCTTTAATCATCACGGCAAAAACGGATAGGGCATAGGCTATGAGTTAGAGACATACCTTTTTGTTATTGTCAGTTCAATCTAGTCGTCTACCAGCCTATCATAATGAATATCTAATCCTTTAAAGCTCAAACAATCAGATGATTTACAAAGAAATCTTAAAGGAAAGTGACGCACTTGGTCTGGGTTCAAATTGGATTTGGCAAATAGAACTGGATCTCATTGTGACAGTAGGCTCACCGAAATGCGAGATGGTCTGGGTTCAAATTGGATTTGGCAAATAGAACTGGATCTCATTGTGACAGTAGGCTCACCGAGATGCGAGATGTGCTGCACAAGCACACGTGCCCGGCACCCCCGGGGTGTGCGTGTGTGTGTGTGTGTGTGTGTGGTGGGGGTGGGGTGGGGTGGGGGGGGGGGGTGGTGCGGTGGCGGTGCAGCGCCAGTGGCAGCCCGCAGCCAGCTGGGCGACCTGGCGCCTGGCGCCTGGCAGCTGGGCGCAACCGCGCAGGGTGCCTGCTGGTCGTGGCCGGTCACGGAGGAGGAGGGCAGCGACGGCCGTCGGGGAGGAGGGGAGACGGCCGCCGGACACGGTCACACGGACGGGGCGAGTGGGAGGGGCGCGGTGGCGAGTGGGAGGGGAGTGGCGGAGGCGAAGTCGGGTTAGGGCGAGAGAGGGGCTGTCTTTTGGGCTTTTGGGGCCGTAGATGGGCTGTTGGGCTGGGTCCGAAGACCTGCTCTCAAAGGTATTCTGTGTCGTTTGGATCTTTTATTTAGAAGAAAAAAAATCCATATTACCTCTCTTTTGTTTCGTGAAAATCCATTTTTTCTCTCTAAACTCTAAAATCGGGTAAAACATCTTCCTCAACTTTTAAAACCGTTTATCTTACCTCCATCCCTGTTATAAGTAGTTTTGAAGGTGGTTTTATCTTTATCTTTTTTATTTATTTTGGCTAAATCTTTAAAAAATTATAGTAAATCATAGAAAAATCATAAAATAGAAAATTCAATTTTGTGGGACTCCACACGAGTAAATCTACACAGCGAACATATAATATGATATGCTTTAATATAAAGTTTTTGCTGTCGCTTTAGATCTGTAGTTTCAATGGTTCAATTGTGATAAAAATTTTATGGTGGGCTAATTACTATATGATTGAACTACAGTAAAAAATTTATACTCATTGAATCATATATAGCTTAGTTACAGATTTATTTATATTTTACAAGCATAAACCTAAATAAAATGTATAACTAAGTTATGCATGATCCAATGAGTATGAAATTTTTACTATAGTTCAAGCATACAATAATTAGCCCACTATAAAAAATTCATCACAATTAGACCATACAAACTGCTGCTATGAATGAATTATAGAAAAGCATAGATCTAAAGCTACAGAAAAAAAATTATATTAAAGCATATCATATTATATGTTCACTGTGTAGATCTACTCATGGGGAGTCCAACAAAATTAGATTTTCTATTTTATGATTTTTCTGTGATTTACTATGATTTATCAAAGATTTAGCCAAAATAAATAAAAAAGATAAAGACAAAACCGCCTTCAAAACTGCTTATAACAGGGCCAGGGAGGTAAGATGAACAATTTTAAAATTTGAGGGAGGTGTTTTGCCCGGTTTTAGAGTTTATGGAGGAAAAACGGACTTTCATAAAAATTGAGAGGAGGTAATGTGGACTAGACTATTTAGAACCTACTTGGTAGACTAGACTATTTTACTTAGAATTTAAAATTCCACATCTTTTAAAAAAAATTAGAAATATAAGTCTATCTTAAAGGCTTGTTTGGGACTGTTCTCCTCCAATTTTTCGAGCTCCGCTCCACCAACTCTACTATGGAACAGCTCTACGGTGGAGTTCTTAGAGCACATCCTGTTTGGCACGCAACTTAGCTCCAACTCTAGTTGTGTGAGGTTCCCTCAAAGAAAGCCAATATACCCTTGATATTTGGTGTATGTTTTAATGTCTGCGTATATAAATTTTTTTTGTTGCCTGTTGGAATATAATATAAAATGTTATAATCATAATTAATTTATTTGAGAAAACCAAACAAATATTTTGTTTAAATAATTGCAACATACTTGATTGAAAAACAACAAACTCCATCATGAGGTGGAGCCCCTAACTTGGAAACGCTTACAGGCGTTGGGTGCGTAAACAGTGGGTGAGTGTTTTCATTAAATGAGTGATCATTGTGGATAATTTTCTTTAATTCCATGAACGAGTATGGAAGTCCAAATCCTAGGATCCCCCGAGGTGCTTCAGAAAAAGAAAGGAGAGTTGGCTGCCCAACTCCACCTTTTTTTTATGGAGCGGAGTTTTATGAGCTAAGGTGTTTGGTGAGACAAAACTGAAGCGAAGCAGTCCCAAACACCCACTAAATTTATAAGATACGAGATAAAAATTGATTCTATAGAACACCATATTATGTTCCTACTTTACAACTTATACCACACACTTTGGCTCGCTCCCATGTAACAGAAATACAACATATAAGTCTCTCTCCCATATGTTCAACAATAGTATATAAATATATTATGCATACGACCATAT